GCTCAAGGTCCTTTGAAGCTGGAAAGGAAATTGGAGAAACTATTGCGTGCAAGCAACCTTATGGAGTCTTGTTCACAAATATCTTAACATATTTTTCTTTTATTGAAAAGAATATGACACAAAGACATAATGTACCATTTAACAGAAGACACAATAAGCTCACTGGGCTTTGGGTTGCTGTATGTTTTCTGGGATGTATGGCCATGTTCTAGAAGCATTCTCTCCTGACATTTCTCCCACATCTATGGCAGGCATCCTCAGAGGTTGTGAGGTCAGCTGGAAACTAGGCAAGTGGGGTTGATATATCTGTGGAATGTCCAGGGTGGGAGAAAGAACACTTGTCTGTTTGAGGCAGGTGTGAATGTTGCAATTGGCCACCTTGATTAGCATTTAATGGACTTGCAGCTTCAAGGTCTGCCTGCTTACTGCCTGAGGGAATGTTCACTGGGCTTTGTTTGTTATTTTTTCCAGAAAATATAATTTTCAATATTTATATGGAGCCTTTTGTTCATAGATTCAAAGCATGAAAAAATAATCCATTTACCATGCAGCTGAAGCATCTCTCCATAGGTCTAAATGTGATTTTGAAGAACTCCCCACATTCATTGATACAAGTAATAAAATAAACTACTTCGAAAAGAAGCTTAATTCCTGCTGGTCATTTCACTTACCTTGTACCTAAATGTGTGCTAAGATTGCTAAGTTAAAACATTTTAAAGTGCTACTTGTGCTATCCCTTGTTTCAAGTGAAATTGTCACAGAGAAAAATCTGAAGGTTTTTCTGTTTCTGTGCAATATTTTAGATGTCTTGAAGGCTCCCAACCAGAGTCATCTCTTGTGCATTCAAGGTTTTTACAACAAGTAAGATGTAGTTGTTTGATTGCTGGATTTGTATGAAACTGCCATACAGTGCAGTTTCATAATGCAGTTTAACTACATTGAACTGCATTTATATGAGTCTATCCAGACATATAATGCAGTTCAATGCTGTTAAACTGCATTATGAAACTGCATTATATGACAATGTAGATACTAGAGCCTTGAACTCTGGGAAAACCAGGGTTTGTATCCCAACCTACTCATGAATATGTGTGCCAGGTTCACCTGCAGTTTGACTTTGTAATTTGGTGAGGTACCTGCACTCTTTGGCAGAGGAGACTAAAGACCTTGTACAACTACAACTCCCATGAACCTAATACCATTGAGCCATGACAGTTAAAGTGGTGTCAAACTGCATTAATTCTACAATGTAGATGAGCCCTTGGCCATTTCTTAAAGGATAACAGTGTGGAGAAGAGTCAAGAATTAGTGCAAAGAAAAGAAATGTATATTTCGGAGCAATAATGAACAGCAGCTCAGCAAAGCTACCTGTGTCTAGACAGTCTGCTCATGGAATGACTCTAAACCAATCCCAGATGCAAAAGAGCTTGCGGGGAAAACATCCAATCTCCTAGTTTTAACAAGACCATTTCTCAACAGTTGTTAATTAGTTGTGAAGGGAAAACAAATGTCTTTTTTAACGCAAGACATCCGAGTGCTCTGCCAAGCGTTATGTTACAATTGATAAACACAAGGGACTGGCAGGTGTTATGTTAAGCCTCCAAATCCCTCAACATCTGGAAAACCACAGGCTGCCCACTCCATAGTACAAAGAGGATGTGAGGGGGAAAAAGTTGCATATGTCTTTAAAGTATTTTGCGATTGTTGTCTTGGACAAACATTTCCCTGTGCAGTTGAGTATAAACAAACACAATCAGAATCCCGCATCTAGCAAAGGAGTCTTCTAAGAAAAAATGAGCAGAGAGTGAGTATTTCCAACAGTTACTGGGAAACTTATTACATCCTTCCCAATTTTTTGACATCAGTCTTGGTTCAGCTATCAGGCTGAAATGGATTTAGTAAAATTCTTACTCAAGATAACAGAGGCTGTAGGTCTAGTAATAAACATGAAATTCAATGACACCAACTTCTAATTAGATCTGTACAAAACTACAATCTACTGTATATAAATAAAAATGTAATGTTCATTTGTAGGATTAGCATAACTCAAAAACCACTGGATGAATTGCCACCAAATTTGGACACAATACACCTACTAACCCAAGGAGTGACCATCACTCAAAAAAAAAAAGATTTTGTCATTTGGGAGTTGTAGTTGCTGGGATTTACAATCAAAGAGCATTCTGAACGATTGAATTGAACCAAACTTGGCACACAGGACTCCCACAACCAACAGAAAATTCTGGAAGTGTTTGGTGGGCATTGACCTTGAGTTTTGGAGTTGCAATCAACCTACATCCAAAGAGCAGTGTGGATTCAAACAATGATGGATCTGGACCAAACTTGGCATGAGTACTCCATCTGCCCAAATGTGAACACAGATGGAGTTTGGGGGAAATAGACCTTGACATTTGGGAGTTTTAGTTACTGGGATTTATAGTTCACCTACAATCAAAGAGCATTCTGAACCCCACCAATGACAGAATTGGGCCAAACCTCCCACACAGAACCCTCATGACCAACAGAAAATACTGTGTTTTCTGATGGTCTTTGGCGACCCTTCTGATACCCACCCACGAACCCCCAGGAGTCAAAACCCCCAGGTTGAGAAATACTGCCTTAAGGCCACCCAGTCCAACTCTCTTCACCAGGGCAAGAGAACAAAATCAAAGCCCTCCTGACAGAGAGCCACCCAGCCATAGAAATAGATAGATAGATCTGATTCACACACGCACGCACGCACGCACACACACACACACACACACACACACACACACATATGACAGCTATAATATAGATTTGAAAGGAACCCCTAAAGAAGCACAATAATAAGTTGCCTGTTCCAGAGTAGGCAAACCAGACAATCTCCACATCAACACTGACAAAGAAACAACAAGAAATACTGTTTACCCACAAGCATAAAGAAATTACATCTATTAGAAACCACCACTTTCTCATTACTTTATTTCCCAGATCACCAGACTGGGCTGCAGCAATGCATGGCAGGGGATGGCTAGTGTTAAATATATTAGGGTGGTGTAAAGTTATTCACCGCAGGAATCAAGGAGCACATTTTTACCAGATTGCTGTGAGTTTTCCAGGCTGTACGGCCATGTTCCAGAAGCATTGTCTCCTGACGTTTCACCCACATCTATGGCAAGCAGAAGGCTGAGAGAAGACATGATAGCCGTGTATAAATATGCGGGGAAGTCATAGGGAGAAGGGAGCAGGCTTGTTTTCTGCTGCCCTGGAGACTAGGACATAGAAGAATGGCTTCAAACTACATGAAAGGAGATTCCACCTGAACATTAGGGAGAACTTCCTGACGGTGAGAGTTGTTCAGCAGTGGAACTCTCTGCCTCGGAGTGTGGTGGAAGCTCTTTTCTTGGAGGCTGGATGGCAGTGGATTGGACTACACTGCCAGTGCATTTTAAACAGAATTCTAAGTTTCAACTGAGAGGAGGATTTGTTTTATCTTGTTTTGTTTTGGAAGCATTGCTGGAACAACGTCAACTTGCTATTCAATTCTAGACAGACACTGAAGTTAGCATATGAGCATTTTTATCAGGATTGTAGTAGAACCTGAATGCACAGTTCATATCACACACACAGGATTGTAAACAATCATAAATACTTTGAATGCCTAAAAGCATGTATAGAAATATTTTTAAACAGAGGCTGGATGGCCATCTGTCAGGGGTGCTTTGAATGCGATTTTCTTGCTTTTTGGCATGGGTTTGGACTGTATGGCCCATGAGGTCTCTTCCAACTCAATGCAGTTCAGCCCTCCAGGCGTTTTGGATTTCAACTCCCACAATACTGGCTGTTAGGAATTGTGGGAGTTGAAGTCCAAACACCTGGAGGGCCAAAGTTTGCCCATGCCTGATCTAAAGGGTTGGTTTCACCCTCGCTGTGGGAGTCAAGCTAATTTCTGGAGCTGCGAAACGATACCTAGAATCATAGAGTTGGAAGAGGCTTCATGGGCCATCCAGTCCAACCCCCTGCCAAGAAGCAGGAATATTGCATTCAAAGCACCCCGGACAGATGGCCATCCAGCCTCTGTTTAAAAGCTTCCAAAGAAGGAACCTCCACCACACTCCGGGGCAGAGAGTTCCACTGCTGAACAGCTCTCACAGTCAGGAAATTCTTCCTAATGTCCAGATGGAATCTTTTCTTGTAGTTTGTCTAAAAAGTGTCTCACCAACATGAAATGTTTGGAAAGCTCTAGCGAAGACCCATAGAAGGCTGATTACTTCTACTTGGAGCCCCCAGTGGTGCAGTGGGTTAAACCCTTGTGCCAGCAGGACTGAAGACCGACAGGTTGCAGGTTCAAATCTGGGGAAAGTGTGGATGAGCTCCAGCTCCCCATGAAAGAAGCCTCCCACAAGGATGGTAAAACATCAAAACATTCGGGCATCCCCTGGGCAACATCCTTGCAGATGGCCAATTCTCTCACACCAGAAGCGACTTGCAGTTTCTCAAGTCGCTCCTGTCACGAAAAGCAAAACCTTCATCAAACTGCATTATAGGAGTCTCTACACTGACCCTCGGTGGCGCAGTGGGCTAAACTGCTGAGCTGCTGAGCTTGCTGATCGAAAGGTCACAGGTTAGAATCTGGGAGGGTGAGCTCCCACTGTCAGCCCAGCTTCTGCCAACCTAGCAGTTCGAAAACATGCAAATGTGAGTAGATCAATAGGTACCACTCCAGCGGGAAGGTAAGGCACTCCATTTAGTCATGCCGGCCACATGACCTTGGAGGTGTCTACAGACAACGCTGGCTCTTCGGCTTAGAAATTGAGATGGGCAGCAACCTCCAGAGTTGGACACGACTGGACTTAACCTCAGAGGGAAACCTTTACCTTTACCCACACTGCCCGTACAATGCAGTTCCAAGCTGCAGTGTAGATCCAGCGCTCCGGGGAGAGGGAGGGAAGGAGGGGGTTTGAGGTTATTTAGGGGAGCAAGTCCCCTCTTTCCAGAGAGGAGGGGGCGCGCGCGCAACTGCGGTCCCGGGAAGCGATTGGCTGGGACTCCTCGTCGTCTGGGCTGAGCCCGGCTCCAAGGTTTCTCTCCTCCGCCTGCCTTACAAAGGCTGCCCCCCGACAAAGTTCGCTCCAAGTCTGCCGCTGGGCTCCCGAAGTGAGGCTCGGCTCCATCCCCGCGCCTTTCATCTCCTGCCTCCGACGCGGCTCTGGCGACAGCGGCATCCCAAGGGCGGCGGGGAAGGCAAGGCAAACCCTCCGGAGATGCCCTCTCCTTGGCTGCCTTGGAGGAGGCTCGCCTTGGCTCTGCTGCTCCTGGCCAGCCGAGGGGTGGCTCCAGCCAGGCAGGTGAGTCCTCGTCCTTCGGGGTGCGTGTTCGCTTGGGTTCCTCCTGTCTCCTCTTTGCCAAATTGTCGCTCAACCTTTGCTTCCTTATCGGCCAAGGGTTTGCTTTCTTTCCCCCTGGAGACTCTGCTCTTTACCCCAACCTTTCTCCATACCTGCTGCAGCATCAATAAGGATGCATCTACACCAGGCATGGGCAAACTTGGTCCATCCAGGTGTTTTGGACTCCAATTCCCACCATTACCACCAGCCTCAGGCCCCTTCCTTTCCCCCCTCAGATGCTTACTCTCCAGGTGTTTTGGACTCCAATTCCCACCATTCCTAACAGCCTCCAGCCCCTTCCTTTCCTCCCTCAGCCACTTACTCTCCAGGTGTTTTGGACTCCAACTCCTACCATTACTAACAGCTCAGGCCCCTTCCTTTTCCCCTTTAGCTGCTTACTCTCCAGGTGTTTTGGACTCCAACTCCCACCATTCCTAACTGCCTCAGGCCCCTTCCTTTCCCCCTCAGTCTGAGGCTGTTAGGAATGGTGGGAGTTGGAGTCCAAAACACCTGGAGGGACCAGTTTGCCTATACCTGCTCTATAACATTGAGCTATGTGGTGCCAAACTGCATTGATTCTACAGTGTGGAGGCACCCTTTTGGATTTTGGACCACCTGTATTTGTTTATCCATACTGATATCTCTTAGAGGTGAGGCCCAAGTATAAACACGTACACCTCATGCACATGTAAGTGTATGTGAAGTGTCTGAAAGTAAGTGTCATTTTTAACAAAATTGTGCATGAATCAAAGTCTGTCTGTTGAACCGCTAGAAAGCATATCTCAACCACTCTATAAGGAATGGACAGTTTTGGAATTTGGAGTATTTTGGATTTTTTAGGATCCCAGATAAAGAGAGTTCAAAATGGATCAAAGTGCTTTTACACACAGTATTTGTAACGATTTTCTGCATGAAAAAGGTGTGTGTCCCTTGAACCCTGAGAAAGAAAAGATGTTGTTTTCTCCACCACCCAGGCGGACCATTTTGGATTTTGAATTACTTTGGAATTCTGGATAAAAGATTCCCAACCTATCCTCCAGTCAGAGAAATTCAGCATAGCTGTATTGCAAAGGATCTTGTAGCATCTTTGAGATCTAGGCCCCTTCCACACAGCTGCATAAAATCCCACATTTTCTACTTTGAACTAGAATATATGGCAGTGTGGACTCCGATAACCCAGTTCAAAGCAAATATTGTGGGATTTTCAGCCCTGATATTCTGGGTTATATCGCTGTGTGGAAGAGCCTTGAGAGAAAGAAGTTGGTAGCATAAGAATTCATGGATTTCTTCAGATGTATTTTTTTTCATGTCAGGAGTGACTTGAGAAACTGCAAATCACTTCTGGTGTGAGAGAATTAGCAGTCTGCAAGGATGTTGCCCAGTGGACGCCTGAATGTTTTGATGTTTTACCATTCTTGTGGGAGGCTTCTCTCATGTCCCCGCATGGGGAGCTGGAGCTGACAAAGGGAGCTCATTCACACTCTCCCCAGACTTGAACTTCCGACCTGTTGGTCTTCAGTCCTGCCATCACAAGGGTTTAACCCATTGTGCCACCGAGGGCTCCTAACCTTCAGATGAATGCTTTTAAGTCTGGAGCTTATGGTCCCGACTTCTTTCTCTGAGTTAGCCTCGAAGGTACCCAAAGATCCCATTGAGTGCTGATATTCCAGACTTAACATGTCTTTGTCCTTGGATTTGACCTAGATGGTTTTCAAAGGAGATACAAAACTCATGTTTCCCCTTCTTCATGCATCAGTGAGGTCCTCAATAGCCAAGGTTTGTGTCCATGTAGGTGGAGAGGAGTTCAAGACAGTAACATTGCTTTCGTTGTCATGTTGTACGCAGGCTTAAAGCAGATTGGATTTTAAAGCAGGCTTTCAGTACAAAATGGCTTTTTGTTGCCGGCATGGCAAATAGTAGTTTGGGAACTTTTTCTTTTATTCAGAAATTCAGTATTTTTACTCATGTAAAATCCAAAATCTGGACGACATTGAGGTGAGATACTGTGAAAATAAATGTACCGGGTGGAGGATGGATTCCTTAAAACACTGACTCTGCTGTCTTTTGTAACTCCTGTTCACCCTGAAGCATTTCTACAGTGGGTTTATTTATTTACTTATTTATTTACTTATTTATTTACCATATTTATATACTGCCTTTCTCAGCCTGGAGGCTACTCCGGACAGTTTGCAAATGGCAAAATTCTGTTCCCTCCAATAACATAAAATATAATTAAAACATTTTAATATAAACTATACAAAACCAATAAAGCCAATAAAAACATTAAAACACAAGTTTTGTATTAGAACTATTATTGTCAGGCTGTGGCTGGGTCTACCCTGCTCATAAAAATGCCATTCAATATGTGTACATCCATCCTGTGATAGCCTTGTACAAAGCAACTCACTGAACAAACGCTTCTATCTGCTGGAGGTTGTTGTGTCAGTACTATGGAGTGTTTCTTTTGTCATCTAAAAGATTTGGGTTGAAAGCATGCTTTGGTTAGTTGGCTGTAATTGTGTGGCATCTGTTTGACAAAGAATATTCAAGGATAACTCTTTTTTTTCCCCCATGCACTGTTTTTGTTAGAAGCATCTGCATTGAGGTATGCCTGTGCATATTGTTTTGAAACAAGGACTGCACTCGGAAATGGAGAGAAACTTTTGAAGCACCGTGTGCCCTCAGCTGTGTCTCATTGCCACCCGTGCTTATCAAATTTGACCAGTCTTTAGCTTGGGTTTTGGCATCCTCAAATCAGGGGTAAGGTGATGCAAAAATACATGGAGCACATAAAGTGAAGATAAAAATGATTAGATTGCTTCAGCAAACCCAGAATCACGTATCTCCACCATGTCCTCTTTTTGAAATGTTAAGGGTGGCTCACTGAAAAGCCCTGAAAATAAGCAGCTATCACAGTGGAAGAGCATGAATGTAAGGAAGATATTTTTTTTTTTAAAAAAAGAAGTCATTTCACCATAAAATGTGTAGAAATAATACCTGTGGCACAATTACTATGTAAGTAAAGGTAAAGTTTTTCCTTGATATTAAGTCTACTTGTGTCCAACTCTGGGGGGGAGGTGCTCATCTCCATTTCTAAACCAAAGAGCCGACATAGTCCATAGACACCTCCAAGGTCATGTGGCCAGCATGACTGCATGGAGTGAAGTTACCTTCCCAACAGAGTGGTACTTATTGATCTACTCACATTTGCATGTTTTCAGACTGCTAGGTTAGCAGAAGCCGGGGCTAACAGCGGGAGCTCATCCCACTCCCCGGATTTGGACTATGTAATTACTGTGTAATTACTAATTACATAGTAATAATTACATTACTTTGTAATTTAAACATATTTTGAGGCATTTCTTGGTGTTGCAAGAGCACCTTGGAAACAGGTTTAGTCTAATACTTTTTCAAAAATGTGTATGTGTTTATAACAGGAGGAGAAAGAGTAGTTAAGACTCAAATCAGTTAAACTATCTTTTGATAATGTGGTAAATTAAAGCCACTTGTCTTTCCCTGAAAATTCCTGTCATTGCTAGGATCAAGCAGAAAAATTACATATTGATTGTGGAGTGAGTTTCCTGTATTAAGAAAAGGTGATGTTCTGAAATGTAATGTTCATTAAGATTATTGGAAAACATTGGTTATTATATGGCTTAAATGGTTTTTCTATTGATTTTATAATGTTGTTTTTAAATGTTTTAATTTTATTTATTTATATCGTACATTTCTACCCCACCCCTCTTGTATATTGTGGATTGTTATGGCATCAAATGGCTGCCAATTTGTAAGACGCCTTGAGTTGTCTTCGAGCTTGAGAAAGGTGGGATAGAAATATCATAAATAAATAAATAAATAAATGATCAAATTATTTAGGATAACATAGGAGTGGTGCTATTGTAATCCTAGAGAAAGAGAAGGAAGGGAATGCTATAATACAGTTTCACTAATGTGTCTCATGCTGCCCATTGGCCATTTAATGCAGTGGCTCCCAAACCGTGTTCCATGGAACTCCAGGGTTCTGCAAAAGCATCAGAGGGGTACCATGAAAAAATCTTTTTTAACATGCCCATGCCAGAATATGAAGAGCTTGTTGAATAATATTCAATGTACATTTGTTTGTTTGTTTTTTTAAAAAAATATTTATCATGTCAGAAGCAAATTGAGAATACAGTTATAATGTATAAAAAACTACAAATTTAAGAACTTTGGCATTATGCTAAATTTCCTTTGACCAGAAACTGGACTCTTCAAGTGCCCCTGGTGTCTCCGTAAGCCTTGCTCCATTGTGCAAGTAGCAAGGCTCAGACTGCATTGTAGTAAGTGGTCTGTGGTTTGCTCTTCTCTACACTCACATGTTGTGGATTCCACTTAATAGCCTCATTTCTTAAGAGCTCTCCAAGTCGCCCAGTCTTCTGTGTGCCCAGGAGGGTGTCTCTCATCCAATATCAGCCACTTATTGAGGTTCTGGGTTTTTGCCTGCCACTTTTGGACTATTTCTTGCTGAGAGGTTCCTTTAAGTAACTCTGTAGATCTTAGGAAGCTGTTTCTTGATTTAAGGCATTGGCATGCTGGCTGAAACCTGAACGGAGGATGGGCCGGTGATGTCAATGCCTTGGTCCTTTCATTGCAGGCTATGACTTCCCAGCAGATATCAGGCGGTGCAATACTGGCTAAACAATATAATTTTTCCTGTGATAATACAGCATGTCTCATTAAGAGCCACATCCACTGTTTTAATGTGGTGAGATGTATTCTACACTGGGCATGAATATTCAGTAGCCGAGTAGCAAAGCGCAAAGGTTCTTCATTGTATCTGGTTGTGATCCCCAGGTTGTGCCAGTCAGCTTTTGTATAATATTATTTCTAATGCCCACTTTTTGATTGATAATCAAGCAGTACTTCTTGTAAGTCAGAGCACAGTCCAGAGTGACTCCCAGGTATTTTGGTGTTCTGCAATG